GTATTTTCAAATTCTCCACATAAGGTTTGAAAGCAGACAGTGTTACTGTATCTATATCTCATGTGTAGGCCTAATAAGACTTTCTCTTTGGGAGCAAAGGAAAGCTCTTTGTTTTAGAATAATGAAAGCAAATAAAAACAAAAAGAAGAGAAAAGTGGGTGAACTAAAGGATGATCTACATATTTTAAAATATTTTGCTATCAAAAATACAAACTGATATTTTTCTTTAGCGCTGTGTTTCCTGTTGTGAGAATAAATCTCACCCAAAAAATTTCCAAACCCACTGTTTCCCAAGGAGTTTAGGTTGAGACCTTTTCAGGCTTATTCAGGTTTTGCCAAGAGTCTTCATCTATGTACTGGGCCTTTACTATTCATTTTTCCAAAATACATCATGTTTGTCTCCAGATTTGTCTGTTATACAGATCTCAATTTTATATGTCTCCAGAGAAGAAAAAAGTGTGGTGGTTTTTTTTTTTTTCCCCCCCCTCTTTTTTTTGTCCTGTATCATCGCCATTATTCATGTCTGGCAATTTTCACACTCATGTCACAAATGTGTTTACATGTAATATAAGATTACGCTTAAATGTTTACAAGTAATATAAGATCTCATATGCTTTTTCTTGTTTCTCTAAACTTCTCTGAATGTTCAGTTTTCAGCATGTAGAAAATGCAGATCCAGCAAGTTGATAGTCTTGTGAAACTTAACATGGTCAGTATGTCTTACTCCGAGATGCTAGTAATTCTAATGTGTGCTTAGATATATGAACATGATCTACAAGAAGAAACATGCACTTTGTGAAATTCTGAAGTAAATCAGAAGTGAATCAGCTGAATTCAGTAGGATATAAAAAATGAGCGTAAGAGAGATTAGATCTTAGATAGCTCTGGGATTTTAAGTATACTCTGTATGTTAATTAAAGCCTAAGTGTTAAAAAGGATTATTGGGTAACATTTCTGTAGTCAACAAGTTCGCCTTCTGAGTAGTATAAATCTGCAATCATTGTAGTAAATTAATTTAACCAAAACAAGTAAAGAATAAGGTCTCCTGAGTGTGGGTTCAGCCCAGTTTTAACTTGCTCCTGCCACCTTGGAAAGAGTTACTAGAACTGTTCTTAACTCTCATTTATTTGAATCTTGAGCTATGATTTATTTGGATATAGTAGTGTCTAGATATGTTTTTCTTGCTGTTGCTGTTGAGCTCATGTAATAGTTCTAAATTCAGATTTAAAGAGTTATTTGGAGATACTCCTACCGAAGTCATTCATGTTGTACCTGTGTAATCAATTTTACCAGGTTTATAGAAATAACCACGTGTATTAGTGCTAAGCTAATATACATAATGTATTTATATTTCTTAAGGGAGATGCAGTCAACTACAGCACCAGTTAGCAGTTCAAATATTCTGCATTTAAGTATTTCCATCTGCTATGGTTGCAGGATACTCTGTACACATGTTCTATCAATCTGTTAAAGGTGGCGTCAAATGGCCTTGAGAATTTGTCATGTTCTGATGTCTTTCTAATGCAAAGCACAATTTGTGTAGAATCCAAGGTAGTTGTTTATGATTCAACTATCCACAGACAGATGAAGTGTGTATTGGAGGCACTGTTTTATTTGTCATAGTTGTTAAAATGTTGAATTCCTCTCAGTTTTAACGTAGTGAAGTGAAAATCATCAGGGACAAGAACTTCTAAGTTAGCATACCAGTCTTACAGCGAAGCACCTTACAGAATACCAAGTCTCAATTGGGCTCTCCGTGGCCTTTTTTTGTTTAGAGGCAGGAAGGTTATAAATCTTGATCTACGTATTTCTATTTATACCTGCTATACTTAAAAATGTAATATTAAATCACTGCAGTATCAGCTACATCCTGTCTCTCTCACTCTCCCTGCTCCCTTCCTCATTTATATCATCAATAAAAGAAAACACATGTAATCCTTTGGCTTTGCTGCCACCATAGTCATGGCCTGGCAGATGCTTTTTGAACAGAGGGTAGATTTATAGTACTAGCAGTTGCTAACTCCTCTGAAGTCAGACTTATATGATCTTCCCAATGACCTTCTGTTTTGTTGACAGTTAGCAGGTTTTCCCCTTTGCTTGATGTTTTAAATTTGTCCAACTTTCTTCTAATCTCATTGTCAGTCCCTGTTGTGCTTTTGTGGTGGCACTAACTTTCTTTCAGACTTATTGCTGTGGTTTTTATCTATTTTTTTTCTATCACGTTAAGAGCAGTGGTGGTTATGCCAAGCCAACATCATCTTTTCCATGTTACAAATGTTGCCTTCTCCAAGTATTGTGCAATGGAAATTTGATATGAGGGGAAGAAGGGGGACAGAGAAAAGGAAAAGCACAGAATGTTTTGTTTTGAAGAAATTAGTCTCTGAGAATAATATCTTCTTCGAAACTGGAAAAAAAAGTCTTTCTCTGGAGAGAAACTTGGGGCCAAGTTTTGCTCTGGACAACACTATGAATTTTACTGAAATGGACACAAAAGTGAACGAAGGGCAGCTTAGCTTAGAGGAGAGAGGAGAGAGGGGGCTGGTGTGAATCAGAATTGTGTCTGCTGAAGTCACTGGGATATACAGATGTAAGGAATCTAAAATTAGATCAAAGACAGCTTTGGATGTGTTTCATGCACTACATATGTGAATTTGAATACAAATGCCCGGGGGATGGTTAGATATGCCCTTTTTTGCCATAGAGAATAATACAAATAGCCAAACATAACCTTGGGGAAGATATTACAGCCCAGGTTTCTGACTTCAGCTTCCCAGAGTTCATAACGGCTCTTTCCCCAAAAGGGAATCCTGAAGTCCATTTAACTCTGAAATGAGTAAGATAATCATAATAAAATTAACTCTTCAGATACCTGAAGAACAAGATGATAAAAAGGGAGCAAGTACCCCTGGTACAGTTTGCAATAATGAATGTTTTCAAAGGTGTTTAAGATGTACACATCATATACTTTACTTTGCACTTTTTGTGGAACAACCTACAAAAGGCTGTTTTCAAAGAATTCACAGAAAATGTGGTTTATGTTAACCACAATGCAAAACCGATTAAGGGAGTGTTGCAGAAACCTGCTTTTCATATGGCTTATTCGTACATTTCCTTAAAAATTACAGACCTGCTCCATGAAGTCTTTAGTCAGTCTAGCAAAATTCCCTGTGACATGAAGTTTTTGGTCTAGATGATGGTGTTGTTTTTTTTTTTTAAGATCAGCTCAGGTCTTTTTTAGGTTATTTGTTATGTTTTACTCTATACTGAAGAATCATGGAAATTACAAAATTAAGATGATGAAAAAACACAAAGATGATAAACGTGTAAGGAGAATCTTGCACAGAAAAGCTCATAAGTGGCTTCCCTTTAGGCCAGTTTGATTATATGCAGCTGGGCACTGTGTACTCAGCCTGTGTCAGTAGAAAGATTTGTCTTGCATCATATGGAAATGTACTTTATTTATCTCATGATTTACTCATATCTGAAATTGAAATTGCTGAAGAAATGCTTTTCCCTATATACACAGCTTATGACCTGGTTTTGGTGAGCTAGAGGATTCCTGCCACTAAAAGTTGAGATGTTTGTCTATGACAGTGCCTTTTCTAGGAAATCTTATGAGAGGGTAGTCCATTGCAACTAGAGCAAAATAAGAACGCAGTCTTCATCCCCACTGAGATCTGTACCTGTGAAGAGCTGTCCTAAAGAGAGAGCTTGGGACTTAACCCAGAACAACACTGATTTATAGTCCGTTGTATTACTTGTACGGTTTATGCTGAGTACCTGGCAGGATTCAGCAATATACGGAGACCTGATTATCCCCTACATACTCAGAATAGGAATTCAATAACCAGAGAATTTCTTCACTTTGTAGCTTCAACACCTAACGTGGGTTCTTCCTTCTCACTTATCCTTGGATCCCACATTACTTCATTCCCAAAAGACCATTCAGATTATTGCCTATTATTTGTTAATTCATGGACTTAACATTTTTATTGCCTATTGATTTTCAGTCTTTGTTTTCAGTTTAATTTAGTAAAAAATGTTTATTTTGTTGCCTAAAATACCCATCTTTAGAACTTAAGCAATACAGAATTAGGGACCACAGAAAAAAGTAGGATGAGAGTGAAATAAGTGTAATTGTTTGATTCAAAATAAAGCTGCTCCTAGAGCATCAAAATTTTAGTGAGGCAATGTGCAGTGCCATAATACTAAGTTTTACATTTAATTAATTTATTTAAATGTTGTTTTCCATGCAGTTTTTTTGTAACTTTAGTGGAATAAAGGAGGAATTACACCTTATGTAAAAGTTTCTATATTAAGGAGGAACTTCAGAGAAGAAAATCTTTATATAAGTGGTTTTCCATACATATCTCTAATTATTTATTTGACGTCAGTGAGCTTGCAACTTTTATAACATCATGTGTTACAGTAGCTGCTAACCAATAGTTCTAATAAAAATACAGATGGCTTGGTTGCCATCTGCACTTCTTTTGAGATTCTGCAATGAATATGTGATTAACCTTCTGTCGCCACTTTTCAGAATAAGTTTTTTCTCTACCACAAGCTTTCCTTGTACCCCATTCCGCCCCTCACCTCTTCCCTTGCTTGGAAACGTGCTAACGGACCTGAGGTTTTTATAGACATCTTACTTGTCTTTATGTTTTAAGCTTTTGTGGAGGATAAAGGAAAGTACATTGGAATTTTATGTTTCTGTACCTTTCACATTACAAAAAACAGACTCCCAAAATGGCTGGGTTTGAAAGACTGGAACAGATAATTAATTCATAAGTGGGTGTTGAAGTGGAAACTGTCAGGCCACAGCTTTCCCAGCTTTCACTTAATCATTTGAAAGTCGTTTTCTGTTGTTTTCACTGACTGTAATCCCTTAGAGAGAGTATAAAACTTGCACCATCCAGCATGGAATTCCACTCCTTTAATGACTTGGGCTCTGTGTTGACTCACTTTCACTCACTTTCACTCACTGTTGTCATTTCATACAGGAAAAGCCGTACCAATGTTCAGAGTGTAACAAGGCTTTCAGTCAAAAGCGAGGCCTAGATGAGCACATGAGAACCCACACCGGAGAGAAGCCGTTTCAGTGTGATGTGAGTTATCTATCCCTTTGTCTTCCTGACTTCAGTGCAGCAGCAGGACCTAACTGCAGTGAGACTATGGCCTTGCACCTATTGGCTGTGGCATAAAATTACGCTTTATATGGTCTTTGATTGCCTAACTAATGAAGGACCATTCAGGGAACTTTATGTACCCTCTTCAGTTGCCAAGAGCATTGCACACCTTTTTATTTTATGGTTTTGGATCCCTTAAGAGTTATTTTCACCACTATTAATGCAATTTGGATGTTGCAAGTTAGAAATTCATGCTGGTTGGATTCCCGTATAAATTGTATGACAGTTTAATAGTTGGAGATTAGCTTATACAGGAAAAGGCATTTAATTCATTACATGGAATCCGAATGCTTCTGATGTTGTTGAATGACACAAATATGAATTTAGAATTTCCAATGTCTGTTTAGTGAAATCTGGTCTGGTATTTTCAACATCTGCTCATAGCTGGTTTTTTTTTTGTTGCTCAATGAAGCAATCGTGGATGCTGTGTATGCTTGCAGCACTGAAATGCAGCATATCGTATTACAGTTCATAGATCACTGTCAAGTACCTTTTATTCAGCATACCCCATCCTGTATACAACGTATCTCACAGCTTTTGGAAGGTAGGTGGGGAAGCTGAATGTGCAGAAACTGTTGGAAAAGAATGTCTTTTAGAATTATCAAATACCAGAATTTAAGTTGTTGCCCGAGGATTTAGAGAAGGGCATCAGAATAGGGTATAGAATTAGTATGGGTGCTTTGTTTTGTGATACTAGCTGTTACTGAACTAGTCACAAGGGAACCACCAGCTTTCAGTTATATCCTAGATGGCTCAGTCTGAACAGTTGTAAATTGGTTCACAAATTTCTAAAATTAGATGCAAAATTAGAATAACCACTTGGCATGAAAGTCACAAGGATCTGTTAATTGAACTGGCTTTATTTTATTATTAATAAATAATCTGGTGACATTTCATTGAGAATAAAATGTATTAATTTAATGAAAAATTTCAGCTACAATACTTTGCTGATGTCTACAAGTCAGGAGATTCTCTGTATTCTTTTGGGATAATGTCAGCCTGGCTCTAGATAGTACCTTCAGGATTTTTCTAATTCCAAATAATTGTCAATAACTTTTTCAGCTTTCACATTGCCAGCTGTTGGCTAGCTTGCAGTGTAAATGCAATTTTCCCCACACTGTGGGTCCAAGATTCGCTGGTCTTGGATTCATAGTGTGCTTTTTCAGACCAGTTTGGGGTGGTGGTTATATTTTATTCTTTTTTCTTTCTTTAATTGAAAATAAGAGCTGTATGAAAACACACTTTCCCGCTTCAACTATTCCTTCAGTTTTCCTCATTAATTAGATAGAACTGTATTTTCCCAAATCATAGTATTTCTAGAAATAGCTGTAATCTGTGTCTAGTCCTAGTCCTTTTCTGAGAATTTTTATGTACCTTCATTTACTGGAGATTTTTTTATACTTTATATTACTGCCATGTTTCACCAAAATTATTCTTCAGCACTAGTCTTTTGCCAGCTGTACATTGCAGAGATTGCTGACTTTTCGGGGTTTGGACATAAACAGCAGTTGCCTTTACTATTCATTCATACACTCTTCAGTGCCCAGGTGCCTACCATGGTTTGCTGCTTAATGCACACTTAGAGAGTGTTGAAAGTTTTGTTTTCGACAGTTACTCCTCATTTCATCTAGACTCCACTTCTGCAGATGCTGGGGATATACTAAATGTCACCCAGAGCAGACCGTTCCTCCAGAGCTGTCTCGATATTGCATGTTACCAGATGTTTCAGCAGAAGTTACAGGAAAACCGGTAGTGGACAGTTACAGAAAAATGTACCTATGGGAGATATTTCTTGTTGGCTCCCCAATACTAAAGATTCCTTTTTACACTCAAATATTTTCACCTACAATTTTCTATCCTGCCAAAGATAGCTGTAGATGTTCTCATTATTTTTCTTACAATGACGTGAGTGGAAATTTATGGCAACAACTTCCACAAATTCTTAACTGTGGAAAGAGATTTTAGGGAGGGGAGAGGGTGTCGGGTTACTGCACTGGAATTTCAATAACTATCTTTTATTTCTTTCATTAACAGAAAGGGTTAATAGCTATTCCATTCATTGCTTTCTGTACGCGTGCTGTGTTCCTTCTTAGTCAACTTCTCTGAAGTTGTTTCTCTTTCCAACACTTTGCATGATGACTTCCCATGTTCATAATTGGTTTTGTTACTATTTTCTGGATTTTTTCTTCCCCATTTCCATTGCATGTTTTAAGGGGTGAAGGCATACTATTGTCATGCCCTTACTCATTAAAGTAATTGGAAAAGTCCGTAAGTCCAATGCCCAGACCTACTAAGAATCCTTTAAAGGTGAAAACCAGCCTATTTTTTCGATGATTAGCATATTCATAAATGTAATCATACATGAAGCCGCACTGAAAGACAAAAATCTTAAGAGGATTGAGGGTTTTGATCTTGTTTCCTACCTGGCATTAGAAGCAGTCATAGAAACTATTCAGCTCTTTCTTCTAAATAACATATTAACATTTGCTGTCAGAATTTTCTTTGTTTCTTAGTACCATTAGCATTTACAAACAGGAATTGCCTTCAGTGCCAAAGAACTGAAGAAAGTAAACTTTTAGCTATTGGAAAAAAAAAATGTGTATTTTATGGGCTCAAGAATAGGCTTCACTTGACAACACACCTCTCCCCACCCAATAATAAACTATTACTTAACAATTTTTTTAGACTGCATTTTTGCTTTAAATAGAATTTTCTTCCAGTATCAGAGACAAAAGCCATGTCTTCTCTGCCTCTCTCACTCTCCTCTCTCTCAGGCATATGGAACAGACATTACAGTACAGGATTGTGCTACATGTAAAAGTAATCCTTGTACCTGGTTTGATGAAGGTGCTACAGTTTGTTTATGTGGCTATTTCTGTGTCTTGCCAGTCAACAAAAGATTTTCAGAACTTACTGTTAGTGACTCAAAGCTCTGACATCCCACTGCTAGTACTGGAAATTCAATATTCCCATTTTAAGGTGAAAATTCTAGTATATATCACATAGGAAAGTGAAAATAACTGAAATATGGAAATACAAAATCTATTTTTTTCCTAGTATATTAGATTTCTGTCCTCTGAAGACCAGCCTGTTTTTTACTGGAAGGCCAATTGAACTTCAGTTGCCTCAGAGACAACAGATTATTCTTTGGGAGCAGCAAGGTCAGGTACTGCCTGTCCTGGTTTCTTTCCAGTACAGTATTTCCCTCCATTCTGCCTTTAGTTGACCCTACACTTACTTTCAAATGTCAGTCTTTTCCATCCTCCCTACTCGATCAAAACTTTGATCATTTTGAAGAGATTGATTGGGGTTCAAGTGCACATTAGCAAGCATGATTGTAAATCTATAAAATGCCAGTCTTGCTTATAAAATTGAAATACGAAGCAAACTCTTAAAAAAACCCCAAAAATTTTTATGCATAAGTACAGCACAAGATGTATCATATCTTTAAGTAATGATCCTGTGCATTCCATGCTCTTTTTGGAGAAGTTAGGCAGTAGAACATGCTAGAGCCTTGTAGGAACAGCAAGACACATTATACTAGTTGTTACATGAGCATTACAAATGAAAAAAATGTACTTTAAGACTGTTACAAGCTGTTTGCTTTAAAAGTGAAGAGGCATGTGTAAGATACACGGGACACATACGTATCTTGTATATGTGTATATCCTTGATCGGCTTCCTGGCTTCCAAGAAACATGTTGTGTTTACAAGTATATGATACTTTTAACATGTTGAGACTTGTGAGCAAGCATGATGGTTATGATTAGATAAATGTTAGGAGTTCACTTTGTGTGTTCTGCGGAAGAGGAGTAGAAAATGTTACTTGGCAAAAGCAATATTAAGACCTGACCAATGGATGCTGTAAGTGACGTTCACTGTCGCATAACAAAAGGGTGACTGTTGCTTGGGTCTGAAAGAGGTAATTATACATTTAGGGAAAAAAGTCGGAGAGTTACAGTTGCTGTATAAAGTCCTCGGTATTACGTCATGTCATAAATTCAAAAATGTTCCATTGCAACAGCACATACAGTGTTCCTGTCTGGGGAAGAATTATTTTGTGTACAAAACTTGCCTCTGGCAGTTGCCCTTTTTATGGTCATTGTATAGTTTTGCCTTAAGTGGCATAAAATACATATACTGCAGGTCAAGATTATCTGCTTGGATAGTCAGCTCTATTTGTCTGTCTTGGTTTTGAAAGGAGCCAGTAATCATTCAGTAATCATTCATACCAATATGAATTTAAAACTTCATTTTCCTAAAGCGGACTGTGCTGGGTTCCTTGAGTTTCCTCTGCATGGAAGACATTTTTGTCTGGAATAACCCTGGGATTCTAAGATTGCAAGCCTATGGATGTTAATTCTTATTTAATTATATGACTCTTGCCTATTTCATTTGTCAAATCAGGAGCATGCTTTCTTTTTTTTTTTTTTTTTTTCTGTGGAATTCATGCATACAATATGTACCTGGATAGAAGGTGAATGTGACAATGTAACTGCATGTTTTCAATTGACTTTATATCTTGCCTACAGATTCTTAACTTTTCATTCTAACTTCTCTTGGCTGAACTTGTTCTTAACCTTTCATTTTTACTTCAGTACAGGGATTTTTATAAGAAGTGATGGTTTTAGCATGGCAGAGTCCCTCTATCCATTTATTCAAATGGCAGAATGAACTGGACTGCTTGGAGTACAGTAAAGGAAGGGAAGCAGCACACCAGATAATATAGCAAAGGATTGCACCTTCATTTGCCAGATGTCTTCTGTTTTCTTGGCCAGGCAGAGGAAGACTGGAACAATGAGGTTTCCTCTGTAATAATTATTAACCTTTCTTGCAGTCTTCAGACACTCTTTTTTTTTCCTCACGCCTCCCTCCTTTTAACTGATCAATTTGAACTGATTTTTTAGGAACCTGCAGATGTCATTCTGGAGGTCAGGAAGGAAATATTTCATTTGAGAGTGAATTGACAGAGGCTTGTGATGTTTTGTCATAATTTTTGCTGCATTCCAGATAGAATAATAGGTTTTAAAAAAACCCACAATGTAACTGGGACACCGCAGTGCGTTCATATTTTGAGGACTGGGTCTTTTTTCCCTTTTTCCTCCCCGCCCTGGCCCCGTGTGCCTGTGGTACCACTGTTAACATACGACGTTGAAAGATACTAGACAGAGTAATAATCTTTAAGGTGCTCTCTGAAGGAGTTATTCTTCCAAAGACCAGCTCGTTTATTAAGTATTGCAGGTATGTGTGTCTGTGGCCTCAGTAATGTAACATAGGGAGCATTATACACGCTTGAAGTTTTTAAGACTTCTTTTGTCTTTGTCTTGTCTTCACTGCCTTAGGTTTGTGATCTGTCCTTCAGTCTGAAGAAAATGCTGATCCGACACAAGCTGACTCACAACCCCAACCGACCGATGGCAGAATGCCAGCTTTGCCACAAGAAGTTTACAAGAAATGACTACCTCAAAGTGCACATGGAAAATGTCCATGGTGAAACTGACAGCTAATTACAGTGTGTGTGAGAAGAATGGATCTCATGTTCCAAAGTGCTCCATTTGTACGTGTACAGACTCCAGACTTCTCACCTGACTAGTAAGCATAGTCAGGAGAAACAACTGTATTGTGTTCAGATGTTATTTTTCCCAATTTTTTTTAATGTACTAATATGATAAAAACCAAAGGAAGACATTCACCTGAAGTAAAACATATCTTGAAAATAAAAAGTTGAAGATCAAAGAACTTTGGGAAAATTTTATCCTCATTTTGAAAAAAAAAAAAAGAAGAAAAACAAAAAAAAAGCTTTAAGCAAACTTCACCTTCTCAATTACAGGCTTAGAAACTTAGATATTGGTAGCGTTACCTGGAAATCCTGGACATTTAGAACTGAACCCTTGGCTGTCTGCACTGTATTTCTGTATCTAAGCTTCAAGACTCCATTAAAATTCTTTAATTTGAAACCACACAGAATTTGTCTTTCTAATTGACTGCTGATTGCATCCAGGCATATTTTATTCAGATCTTAATTCTGCATTTTGTTGTAACATGATTTTGTCTCGTTTTATTTACAGCTTTCTCATTACTAGATGAAACTCATTAACTTCAATTGGTTCTTGAGATGCCAAAATGCATGGGTACAGAAACTGTGGAAATCTGTCACGTTAAGTACTTCTGTATGAGTATTGAGGAGGATGTATTTCTTCTGGTTACATGAAACAAGACTGAAGTGAAAACTTTGAGCAATTTATTTTAAGTACTATATTCATACTCATCATTGTGACTGGCAAGGCAAGTGGAAAGACATCTTAACAGAGTGGCTTGAGCAGCTACAGTTGCCTAGTTAACATGTATTTGATTTCCTGGTGAACAGCTGGGTCCTGCTGAATCAGATGCCCTGGATTTCTTCATCCTACTCAACTACCTTTGTGTTCTAAATTCTGTTAATGAGCACTGGGAAAAATACTGCTTTGCTACTAAGTAACAATCAAATTCTTCACGTTATCAGATTGAGTTGTTTACTGCAGTAAAACTCTTGAAAAAAGTTCCCACAGGCCCTCTTGTACCACAGCTAGATAACCAAGAAATTTTTATCTACAAGGACAGTAAAACTGTAACTTCAGAGGGTGATTGCATGTGAAATTCCTGAGTTATCAGCAGTTAATATTAAGGCTCTATCATTAGTAAACTGTCCATGTTCATTTTGGACCTGTCAATGTTTTGTAAAATGAATTTGCATTGGGACATCTTGCTTCTAGTTTTCATGGGAAAAGAATTCAGCTTCTTTCTGAACTGCAGCAGGGACAATTACGCTGAAATGAACAGCATAATTTTTTATCTTTATCTCACAATAGACTCTCTACTCAAATCTGTTTATCACATGGTAGATTTTCTACTCAGAAGAGCAAAAAAGAAATAGCCATAGTAGTATTGCTAGCGATGGAAATAGCTAGCAATAGAAGATGTTGATATATTTAGTGATTAAGACTCCTTTCCTTCTCTATTAATAGTTTGGATCCCATTCTTCTACATGGACAACTGTACGTTACATGTTCAGTTTTGAGACCCAGCACTGGATCCCAATAGTAATTTCTTCCAAAGCCATTACTTTTCTCCAGAAAATAAGCAGAAGACACTTTGTGTTTTTTCTCAGAAGCTGAAGAAGGCATGCCACTAATAGGGGTAGTTATAATTACAGGGTCTATATCAGAGGGTCTTATTTTTTTCTAGGAAGCCTCCTGTTTTGTTATGAGACTGTCTTCAACCTCCTTTCTTTTCTTTTGGAAGCTCCATGACAACGAACTAAGAAGTTTACAGGTGTCCTTCCCATTTACAAGGAAGTTGTACGTTCAAGTTTACAGGTTCCCGTTCTTAACGAAACCAGGTCACTTACTGCTAGCAATTCTAACAAAGTTGATCAGGGAGAAGCAGGAACTGTCACTGTTTTCAGTGTTATAGAAAACTTCAAAGTGATGTGTTCCCGTTTATTTCAAAGGTCCTTGGCTTGAGTTACATAGTTAGGCTTGAATGAGCCACCTGCAAGGTTTCTGCAGGCAAGGGGGTAACCTTTAGCTATATCTGCAGATTTGAAATTGGAATCCAGTGTCCCCTAGGCTGATCTGAATTGAAAAAAGAATAAAGCGTAGTAAAGCAACAGACATATGGTCTGGACCGCAATGTAAATGTATAAAATAGGCCACAGCAGTTACACTGATGTAAATTCATATGGAGGGTATCCTGGAGAAGACCTGCGTATGGAGAATCCAATTTCATATAATGTTGTTCTGTAATGATCGGTTCAGTATGGAACAAGTGACTTAGGTGTTACACTGGTGTGTGACAGAAAAGCGTATCACTACATGTATGTGTTACGTAATTTTGTGTTATGTTGTAACCTCTATGGTGTATGTAATAACTTTTATGCTCTTTTTAATTTTAATTAAATATAGAACTTATTTTCCTATAATTTTAGTAGTTTTTTTCAGTATTAGTTTTGAAGGCAAACTGCATGGTTGATGTTTCATGAATTATAATTATTCAGTAACACTTGAATATTTTATTGCATTCAGTTTGCGTGTTGAAATACATATACTTAATTGTTTCTAAATTGTTTAGGATTCCTGCAGATTTTGAAGGAGAAGTGTAATTATGAATATTTCACTTGTTTGTGACAACCACCTATGTGAAAAAGCATATTAAGTCTTCTTCATGCCCTTTTTGTTTCCCAAGAGGTATGTGAAACTTGGAGTCTTTGCCAGTTCCATACAAATAATTTGTTAGTATAAATCAAATGTATGTGTATAAGAAAAATATAGTAGAAATAGGCATTATAAAGTTGAGTAAAGAATACTTCCTCTCCTTATTTGGAGAGCTTTTGTTAGAGAGTTTATCAGACTAGTATATTTCTAGGTCCAGAGAAATTTAACTTATTGCTAAGGATATTATAAAAATTAATATAATTTAAATGTTCAGGTAGCAAAATCAATCAGTACCATATACTGAGATGTCTGATGGTGTTTCAACTTAATTATCTGCAAGGAGAATTAGGTTGGTGACTTTTTTTGGCATGTCTGGGGTGAGACAACATTGCAAAGGTGACTTGTTTGTTGGTTTGTTTGTCTTTTTGACATCAATAAAATCAAGACTTTAGTCATAGAAAAACTTTTTTTTACAATTTTTTATCTTTTTCTTCCTTTATATTTTTTCCTTCTTCCATTTGGTCAATGCAAACAGGGCACAGAGAACAGCAGAAGAAAAAAAACAAACCAAACAAACAAACGAAGTTCAAAAGTGAAGATTTTCTAAGTAGTTTTTGAGGGACAATGCTATTAAAACACAAAGAAGAAAATCCTTTTTTTGGGGAAAAAAAAAAAAGGATAATTTAATATATTTACATATTTTGTATAGGGTTTTTGCCAGAGATCTTTGCTGTAAAGTTGTGTTACATGTTTAGGATTAATAACTGTATTTGAGAAAAATAGCTAAGTTGGTACATGAAGAGGAGAATGTACTTTTCTTGGTTTTAATTATTGCTGGAAAAATTGCAATATACATATTAAGATTAATCATGCTGTGTGTAATCAATAGCAGCAGTTAACTAACTGAAGCTTTGATCTTGTTAATGGCTTCAATAGAACAAGGGATAGACAAGATCAATGTGTGAGTGAAGACCTTCATGGGAAACACAAGAAGTAGGTGCAGGAGGTTGAAGCCCAGCTCCAGGTGATGACTCTTTGGTGGTGTCCTCCAGGAACTTTCCTTGTGGGCTCAAATGGCTGCAGATCTGCCTGAGCTCCTACAGAGCCAGCACCTGGCTCGGCAGCTGCAGGTGTTTCCACGGCAAGAACTGCCCTATTCTTTCCATGAGGTGCTTGAATTTCTCGCAGTCGGAGGTAATATAATTCAGATTACTGTATTCATGGTGGTGAACTGTATAATTGAGTTTATATGCAATGCAGACTTACCATTATGCAATATATTTTATTTGGTCATCGCTTTCTTAAAAAAAAAAAAAACAACAACCCAACAAACACAAAAACAAAGAAAAAAACCAAACCAACAAACCCTTCTCCTTTGAGTAAAAATTTCCATTGATAGTTTCCCACTTCATGTATTGCCTTTGGAAAAGATAGAGAACATTCTCTTCACCTGATTTTGAGAAATGAGAAATTGAAACCTGTTGATTTAAAGGTAATTGTTAATTTTTTAGTGTGTGTTTGTATGTTTGTTTTGCTTTACTGTCTACTATGACAAACTGACAAAACTCATCATTAGTTAAAATACTGACTTTTCCATGGTAAGTTGTGCCATGCAGAATAACATGAAAATCTAGAGATATTCCTGAAATAAAGTGTAGTCACTACATTTTAGAAGGCTGTGATTTCCCCCCCCCCACATTGTATAATTTTCTGCAGATCATAACATTCAATTTGTTCTTTTTATTTTTCCATTACAGTTAACCCCTCTTGGAGAGAACTTCATCTCTGATGTTAGGAACAGCAGCAAACTGTGTCTTGTTGCTTTTGCTTTCCATTCTGATCAGATGTACGGCCAAAAGCTGATACAAATCATTGATATGATAACAACTGCAAGGGATATTTATAATTCTGTTTTGTCTTACATGATTGTGAAGGATTTGATGCATCATTTAGTTTACACTAGCAAGTTCTAATTAGAAATCAGACAAAGGAGGAAATAGTGTAAGTTAACGTGTGCTGGGCATTTTATGTCGTTATATTTGAATGTACAGACATAGTGTAGTCAAAGCAATTTGTATGTTCTGTGAGTTAATTTGTGATGTTGTTATAAAAATATGTTTCTGGTCTTAAAATTGCAACCTCTAATGCTCTGCATTTGTGTCAGTATGTCCCAATACCGTTATCCTTCAAAGACCTCTGACCATAGTTTATTTTACTTCTTCAGTTTAAAAGACATAGCATAATAGTCCCTCTAAAGCATCATTTTTAGAGGTGGAGGAGCTCAGTGTGCTGTTGTCAGTGTATGATCAGGTTATAATAAAACATTTTAAGTTCAGTTACATGCTTGTTGCACGAAAGTATAGGGGTTCCCTTCAGAGTGAGATTTGAAATCTGCCTATTTGATTTTTTTATGCTAGTGTTAGCTCAGAATATGATAGCAGTTACAGCTGTAAAGCTGTATTCTTGAACACGTTTGAATTCTGACAGCTTATTTTTGTCTCTTGTACATACTGTGGCACATCAAGAAGATGGAGTAA